AACTACAAGTCTTTTCCCGGGTATGACATTTCAACAACCCCGTAACTGAAGGCCTCTCCTGGTCCTCCCAAATACGGGCAGCTATGTGTCCTAGAAAGCTAGGAATCACACTCCCGTCAACAGGCCCACCGGGCACCTCACTCCTAACAACCCAAGAATCATTACCCGCCCTCGACCGTTTCCTGCTTGCCCCAGAGACAGTGGACGCAGATGATATGCCAGATCTACTAACAAACCTACCACCCCTACCCTTACGCACCTCCACCATATGCGTCTCGTACATGTCATCAACCCTCTGACTGAATGGACCGTAATCATCATACGGTCCACTGCCATCGTCCACATCCTCATCCTCATCTGCGCCCTCCTCCTGCTCCTCCTCCTGGTCACCCTCCTCAGCATCATCATCGTCATCGTCATCCTCATCCCGACGGTGGATCCGTTCTCTACGAACTGAGGCCGAAATACCACGGGATCTGACATGTCTATGCCCCGACCTCTCCACTGAATAACTTCTACTAAGAAGCTCTATATTCTTCCCCCCACCATGACGACCCTACACAAAATTTTAAAAATATATAAACATACAAAAATTTATACGATAAATAATCATCATCGCAAATCAAATACACTAAAAACAAACAAATAATAGTAAACAAAATATAAACGTAGAAAAAATACAACGAAATTGAAAAAAATTTATAAAAATAAACAACAAAATATAAAAACAATTCAAAATTATATTACAAAAAAAAAAAAAAAAAAAAAATTTAAAAACAATTTTTTAAAAAAAATTAAAAAAAAAAAAGGGGGGGGGGGCGCCCTGGCTGGACGCCCAGCCGGCGGTGGTGGCGCCAGATGCAGACGCCGCCACCAGTTGGCTGGCGTTTGGGCTGGACGCCACAGCCACGGCTGCGGCGCTTAGACTAAACGCCACAACCGTGGCGGTGGCGTCCAGCCCAGGCGCCAGCCAACTGGTGGCGGCGTCTGCATCTGGCGCCACCACCGCCGGCTGGGCGTCCAGCCAGGGCGCCCCACCGCGTTCACGGCGGTTTTCCCCTTTTTTTTTTTTAAACAAAATATACCTTTCCACCTTGGGACATCCTTCCCTCCGCCGCCGCCGCCGCCACTTCCTTGCCTTGCCGCCTCGACATTGTCGTTATTTTGAATTTTTTTTTTTTTAGAGAGGTTGAAAGAAGATGAGCAATGAGAGTGTGAGTGATGAGAGTGTGAGTGATGAGAGTGTGAGTGTTTTTTTTTAAGGTCAAGGGCAATTTAGGGAAACCAAGTGAATTTGTGGGCTTTATGTAGTAATTTGTGGGCGATGTTTAACAAATCCCCTTAATGGGACCTTATAACATATTTAAGTCATCATATTGGTTTTAATTTACAAGTTTAAATTAGCAAAATTAACTTTTGAATTGCACATTAGTCATTTGTCACCAATTTCTATTATCTTATTTGGTTTTATCGAAAAGTTAAGTTGACATCTACACACTATATATATATACACACGTTACGAATACAATTTACTTATATATATATATATATATATATATATATATATATATATATATATATATATATATATATATATATATATATATATATATATATATATATTTTGTAGATAAGCATGACTTCAAGCTAATGCAATCAATCGTACTAGTTGCTCTTTGGGATGGAGTTTTCTTTGTTTTCTTCCTTCACTCTCAATGTGTCTAAGCTAGCATACAATGCCGACCGATTAAAGCGTGAAATCGAGGGGCCAATTCTTATCAAGTTCTCTTTCTTCATTCGATCTTGTCACTCATAAGCTTGTTGAGAATTTTATTTAGCTCTTTTTTCAACTATAATGTAAATTGATTTGCACGCGTAATTTTGCTTATCAATTTAAAAGAAACCGCATTTCAAAAGTAGATTTTGCTAGGTGGCTCAACTACATACTTGTCTACTCCGCTTGTCCATACGACATTAGACTTGGTGTCATGTAATGATATACAAGCACATAACATAAGTTGAATACCATGATGCCATTATACATTGTAACTTTTATTTTGACACACTTAAACAGGAGTAAAATAAACATTATTGTTGATATAACTTACAGTATATATAGTGTACACTTTTTAAATAACATGATCTATTGGCCGAGTTGTTTAATTTCCATCACATAAATTGCATGGTCCTCTTCAATTCAATCAACAAAGTTTATAATACGAATACTTTGCATAATTTATGTTGAATATAACATTACCTTCATCTATACTCTAACTTTTATATATGAGTACCTTACTAATAAAGTGATTATGCAACTAATTATCATTAAAGAAAGAGAAAGAGTGATTCTCCATCTTGTTCAATGAACTGTTAATATGCAAATGGGTTTATTTTAAGGTTTAAGTGATTCATGAAGTATAATTTGATGGTGAAGACATCCATTCTAGAAGAATCTGTAACCAATGTAAGTTTGACATTTTCATTAAGGTATGTAATCAAATATTCTAAAGTAGACAATAATAATAATTATATGAAAAAACAAGATACCTAATATTTTCTGAAATTTTAAGGCACCAATTAATATTCAATGTACTTTGTAAAAGATTATTCTAGTTATAAATTATATATATGAGGTCTTAGGAATATGATTTTGATAGATGACTTTGCCTTGGATTTTAATACAATAACCTTGTCACTTTCCAGTGAACTTTTCCACTTTCAAGTAACACTTTAGTATTAGTATTCAATCAAGAATTTCCATTCATTAAATTAATCACAAGAATTTGTTCCATTTAATTTCAATCATGTACCTTGCAATGTCATCATAATTTTTCTTTTTTTTTTTTTCTTTTTTTTTTTTTTTATGTAGTAGCATTTGTTGCGAATAATCTGATTTTTAGAAACTTAATTTTTTTTCTCAAGGTTCGGGCCAGATAAATATCTCTAGTTAAGCTGAACAAATAATTCAAGTATTTGTTGGTTGAATTAGTAACATAACAAATATACACTTGACCAACTTGTAGTCAACCACCTAACATCCATCTCATTTATAATATTTGATAAATATATCATTGAGAACTGATGAGACAAAATTTACTTAATTATTAAACATTTCATACAATGTAAGTTTAGATATAAGTTTTAAACATCTGGACTTTTTAGATATAAGTTTTTGAATATTTTAAATGCTACCTCCGTTTATTTTAGTTGCAACAAAAGAATATTTTAAATCTTACAAATAATACCCCTTTTGTTGTAACTAAAAAGTTCGGAGGTAGTAAGGGTCTGTTCTCATTGACTAAACTCAGCTGAACTGAACTGAACTGAAATGAAATGAATATTTTATAAGAGAAGGAAATTAGGAGCTGAACTGAACTGAGCTGAGCTGAACTGAACTGAATTGAACTGAGCTGAGCTGAACTGAACTGAACTGAGCTGAGCTGAACTGAACTGAACTGAGCTGAACTGATCAAATTTCAACGTAAGAGAACAGACCCTAAATTCATAAAAATTTTATATAAGTAATTGGACATAAATATCAGTTTTTTAAATGAACACATGAACTCATAGTGAAATGAACGCAACCAATACTTGGACATGAAACCTGAATCCTACTCATTGATCCAACCCACCAGCAAAGATAGAAGATTTGGTCCACTGTTTAGTACTCATAAAAGGGATGAAGGGAAAGTAAAGATGAATACATTTATACATAAGATGGAAATGTAAGATGCACAATATAGTAATAGAGTACCAAACCAACTCCACTAGGATGTGGCAAATTGTAAAAGAAAGAAAGTTAGGATGTCCTACCTCAACACTTGTTCCGGTATAAATTGTAGTTTTATGTCAGCCAAATAAATAGCTCTATTTTGGACTAATTAGCCAGCACATGCAAACTAGATATCTAACTTTTTAAGTTATCCAATATCCATCCAGCTCAATCTTTGATTTTAATCTTAGGCTAATTTATTCTCATTTGGCTTTATTTGCTTCCTTTTTTTTTTTTTTATACAAGTATATAATTGATTAATAGAACAATATATGTCAAAAATTAATGGGTCCATTCTATTCTTAATTAATTTAGTATGCTAAGCTCACAAAAGAAAACAAATTACACACATACTCATAGAATTATACTATTTACTTAATTAGCCATTTAAATAATAGAAGTGCATAATTTATGATTAATACTGTCAAGCTTGGTAGAGCATCATACTTCCAACAGTAGTGGTGGCATGACACATATTATTCCATTGGAATAAAGCTAAGGTTGTTATTGTTAATTAAGTATTTAAGTGAGGTCAGTTTATGACCCCCATAAAAAACATGTACTAATATTTTTTTACCAAAATAAATAAATAAATTGGTAAAGATAGAGGTTATTCAATATAGAGTATATTATTAGCTTTGGAAGTTTCGAGCTAGAATTCATCTCGTCATCATTTTAAACTTCATGACTCCGTTTTTTTCTCTACTAGCTTATTTAATTTTTTTTTTCCCGGCCATTTAATTAAGGTATACTAGTATATTGTTCTTATATGAATTTTTCGTCTTTTAAATGATGTTAAATTGCATTATACATCAGAGTAAACTAAACTTAAGTAATCCTATTTATTCCTAAGAAGTTAATTAATTTGATAGGTTCAAATTACAGATCGTCAATAAAAACATGACTATTACTGAATCTGACATGATAATTTACTGTTACAATAAGATAATCTTCAGGCATTTCATTCAGGGGTTGATCAAGAAAAAATAATACTTGTATAAAGATTAAGATGATGTATACAAAATGACAAAATAGGGATTAACATCACTTTATATAAGGGTAAATTGCATTTCTTGTCATGTCTGATTTTCATGCATCTAATCGTCTTACTTTCATGACATAATAATAATGTACTACAACTACAACTTAATCAATCTCTTAACAGTAACAATAACAAGAAATTATGATATGATGAACATCATCCTACTCTTCACTTTTTTTTGTTCCCAAAATCATCAAATTCACTCACTTCATCATTACCATTGCCAATTTCTTGTCCCCTTTACCCTATCCCTCAATCTTTTTTTTTTCTTTCATAATATTTTCTTTTTAAAATCCTAAAATTGAAGAAAAATGAGAAGAACCAAGAAACGTTACACTAGTAAATAGTAATAATAATAGTACCATAATATTGTCTTAATTGAACTTCTTATCATTCTCCTTGAAAAAAAGGTCATCCTCATCCACCACAACATTGCCCTCCTTTTCTTGATCACCACCATTTGCATTGCTATGCATCATCTCAAGCTCCCTCTTCTCCTCCTCCTCTTGCTCCTCTAAACTCGAAACCCGGCCTCGTACACACTCATTCTTACCACCCTCCGCCCTCCTCTTAAGCTCCACAAGCAACTCTTTAACCGCCTTCATCCTTTCTCTCCGATGCCTAATCAACACCTCGCTCACATCAGCCGGGGTCATCCCCGCCTTCCCCACCACCGCCTCGAACTCGGCTATCGTCTCGGAATCTAGATCATTCTCCTCTAACCCCACATAATTCCTTAGCAAAATCTTCAAGGCTTCAAAAGAACAGTTGCTAAGGTGAATGTGCATATCCATCCTACCACACCTCAGCAATGCAGGATCAAGCTTCTCCACATGATTCGTTGTAAACACGAATATCCTCTCGCTACCGCAGCACGACCACAGCCCGTCCGTGAAGTTCAGCAGGCCCGATAGAGTCACCATACCGGGCCCACCAGGGCCGTCATCCGGGCCCGGGTAATTCCCGTGCCCGCCACTCTGGCGGTACTTGCTGTGCTTGTTGTCCTTCTGCCGGTCCGATAGGTCGATCGAGCAGTCGATATCCTCGATCACGATAATCGACTTCGACGTCGTCTTCATGAGCAGCTTCCTGAGCTCGGAGTTGGACGACACCTCCGTAATCTCGAGGTCGTAGATGTCGTAATTGAGATAATTCGCCATTGCAGCAATCATGCTCGACTTTCCCGTTCCGGGCGGGCCGTATAAGAGGTACCCGCGCTTCCAGGCCCGGCCCGTGGCCCGGTAGAAGGACTCTCCGCCCGCGAACTCCTTGAGATCGGCCATGATCTCGGCCTTCCTCCTTGGGTCGATCGCGAGCGTGTCGAACGTGGAGGGATGCTTGAATGGCACCGCCTCCCACGGGTGACCGGGCCGGGCCGAGTCCATGGACCCGCCCCGGGAATTGGTGTACAAATACCGGTCTTGATTCAACCTCCGAATCTCCCCGGCCCGGTCCATGATGTGATCCAAGTACGGGCCCAACACCATATCTTTGGCCGATTTCTTGACCCGAAGACTGAACCCGCGCTTCTCATCGGGCACGGGCCGCCAAGAGAAGGACTGAGAAGGTCGTTGTGTAACAATGTGCTCCCACTGAACTGCAACCCCTTTGAACGTATCAAATAGGGTGTCATTGTGTGCCAACCCGAACGTTACGGCCGAGGAGTTTAGGGACCGGGTTAAGCTTAGCCTACCCGCGGACGCAGCTGTTGCGGCCGCGGTAGAGCTAAGATAGAGCTGGACGGCGTTATACAGCTCGTTCGTGTTAACGCCGTCTATCTCAGTTATATCGAAGTAGCAATAACAAGAGAAGTAATTAGAAATTCTGTTGAAGAATTTGAGAAAAGTGTAACGAAATGAAGGTGGGAAAATTGTTGTTAGTAAACTTTGGCAAAAAGCTAGTACCCCCATTAATGAAGCTAATGAGGTCCAAAATTCTCTCATTTTTTTTTCTAATACAAAAATTATGTGATGATAAAAATTTGTTGTTGCATAAAACCAGAATTTATAGATGAAATTAATTAAAATTGTAGGTCGAGTGAGTAGTAAGTAGAGTAGGGGTGAGTGAGAAGAAAATTAAAATGAAGATGAAATGAAAAGAGGTTATATAAGTAGTCAAGTGAGAGGACATTGGATATCATCATAAGGGACAGAAAGAGGAGGCATCTTTTTAGGCTGTTTTTATGTGAGATGTGTAGTAGGATAGTATTATGAGTAGGTTTATGATTTGTTTCCTTTCTTCTCTCTTTTTCCACCCTCTCTCTTTTTGTCTTGTTTTTTTTTCAGATTTATATATGGTTTTAAATCATAGGTTCCACATACATTACATTGTGTCGTGTCTGATTCGTGTTTATTTTCTCTCTGTTTCAAAATAACAGGTAATTAAATATGATACACTTTTTTTTCCTTGGTTCATTTCTAAATAATTAACACATATATTCTTCTCATTTTGAAATAATTGACACACTTTTCTTTCTAAGTTGTTTCAGAATAATTGACACACTTTTTCTTTCTTGAGTGTTTAAAAATAATTGACACACTTTTTCTTTCTTGATTGTTTAAAAATAATTGACACACTACTATCTATAAGTGACAAAAGACTATTGTTATTAGATTATATATACCACACACACCATGACTCATTAACTTTTACCACTAAAGACTTATATAAACTAAATCTAATCACTAGTATATATTATACATTAATTAAACATCTTTTCTTTCAAAAAATTTCAATTAACAGCTCATATTATTGTCACCATCTATTATTTTCTTAAACTAGCTGTGTGCCTAAAATCATAAGGGAATGTGTTAATTGTTTTGAAATGAATGGAGTGTTACAATGTTGTAGTTATTTGATTCTTTTTAGTTGACACATCTCTCAGTTGAATTAATACTACATACAATAAAATTAATTTAACTTTATTTTTATTTTACACTAGTTTAATTTAGGCTTTTTTTTTTAGAGAGCCCAATGGGAGCAATGGCAGAAATGAAAATTGATCCCAAAATTTCTTGAAATCGGAAGAGAGTTTTAAGTTTTAACCATTTGAGACATCCCTCGCTCTAATTTTGATTTTTGAACTAGTTTAGTTTATGCATTATCGTGGAGGATTACATAAAAATAAAATTTAATTAACAACTTATTTTTTATCATAATAAAAAATAGTATTAGTAACGGCAGATTTGATTTCTTGGTCGTTTGGGGGTCTTCCTAGCCTAGCCAATAGTATGGCAATTGACAGGCAATATTTGGCAGACATATAGAAGCTAAAAAGAACAACTTTGCTTGATAAGGAATGAAAATCTATAAAACAATCAATAGTGCTAATAAATTTGGGATTCAGCGCCAAATTAAAAGAAAGGGAAGATATCATCATGATGATTCTTTTCCTCATTTTCATTATTACATCTATATGTAGATGTAGTTGGCCTCTATGCCTATATATGTTTTATTTTAACTTTATTATACTACAATTTCTTAACTCCAATATATACCAGTTAGACATCTTGTTGAATTGAAAGACAAAGATAAGTAAATGAAAAGATCCGACCTTATCACCTCAAGGTTAAGAGCTTAGTAATTCTCAATAATCAATGAGCTATATCAAATCTTGCTTGTGAAAAGTATAACCATTTTAATATCCACTGTATATTAAATCTAAATGAATTATTACATTAGTACTACTGTTTCTCATCCTTCATGCATGCATACAGTTGCAGTTTAATCATGCCATACCATACGTCCTGCATGCCTTAAGCTCATCCTCCGTGCATGTACAAAAGTTTTGTGTAAAAAGAGAACAAAATCTATATATGATCGAGTAAAGTTAATACTTTTGTTATTGCCTTTCCGATCCTTTCATAGTAATTTTCTAATTTTCTTATTTGTTTGTATTTTATATCCACATCCACCATAAACGTGCACTTATTAATACTAGAGGTCTAGAGTACTATATATATATATATATATATATATATATATATATATATATATATATATATATATATATATATATATATATATATATATATATATATATATATATATATTGAGTAATTAGTAAAAAAATTTTAATAGTACTTTGTAATTAGTACATTCTACCCGAACAAAATATATGAATCAGTCAACATCCAACATCCAACCATAGATAACTAGAGTACAACCCTTGATTTTGTATGTTCACCCCACTAGCAAAGTATTGTAGCCATTGTAGGCAATAAATAAAAATACTACCCCCACTTGAGTGACAATTGAGCTGGAAGCCAGTTTGAAGTATCCCCAAATAATAATGAACAAATTGAAGTACATTCAAATATTTATGCATCTTCAAAAAGTTATGTAGGTAAGATTTGGACTTAACACTTGAACATAAAAGTTGCAAGAAAATAACAAGAATTATTAGCTCAAACATGTGAAACACCTTGACCCATTTGGCCGTACCATATGTAGTGTCCGTATATAATCTATACTACTCGTACTATATATAAGCTGTCCAATATTCAGATGTTACTTTGTTACTAAACTTTTTTTAATTTCTTCAACAAATTTTATACAAAAAAATGTAGTATATATTATTCTTGTTCAATTATTTAAAAGTGGATTTTATTTTGGTATGTACACTTGTTCATCCTAAACATTTATAATTAAGCTTTGATCAATATATAATTACAACCATAATCATTGTCAAATTAAAAATTAGCTTATGTTCTTTTTATATTTGGAACCTTGTACTATCTCCCTATATGTATAATTGTATATTGAAGTTTTATCATTGGCCTTGATCTACAAAATTAAACATGAAGTAGTGTTTGAAATACATTTGCAAACAAAGGCAGCAACTATACATTTATCATGCATTGATTTTGTTAAATAATTTACTTCCTTTTGTTTGGCATCCATTTAATTAGGAGTAATTTTTTTTTAATAAAGGTATATATCAACTATTGAAACAAATTAGTTCGTAATTTTTATCTAGTCTAATTTATTTTATTTTATTTTATTTGAAATAAAAGGAACTTACTAGACTGCTCTTTCTCAAAAGTGGCCCCTTAGAAAAATCCAAATTAATAATGCCCTACAAAGTATTTTGAGATTTTTGCTCCAAACAACCAACTTATAGTCCGATTCTCAGCTAGAATAAATCTAGTACTCCATATCTCTTTTTTATGATAAAGTCTTATACGAGTAATAAACAATTTAAAATACTTTTATCTAATAGATAATATCATGGACATTTTCTATTGAGGTTGACTATTACAATTTTTGGTCATAAATAAAATTCATTACTAGGGAGTATTTACTACAGTAGTAGTGTAGTACTCCGTAGTAGATTACAATAAATTAGTTAGGCCCTGTTCTTTAGAGTTGTTCTGCTCTGCTTTAATCTGCTTTGCTCTAATTAAAAATAATACTAATAATAATAATAATAAAATTTGCACTGCTTCAATTTACTCTACTCTGCTGAAATGTGCTCTGCTCTATTCAAAAATTCAAAAGAACAGGGCCTTAGTGCTAGACAATATCATCCAAAATTACTTGAACCAAAAAAAAAAAAAAAAAAAAAAAAAAAAAAAAAAAAAAAGTTTACCTAAAAAAGGCTGCTAGCAAAATCATTTTCGATTATTTGGGTACATGATCCTCTGACAAATTTGGCTCATATATTAACTTGCATGTAAAAGGTAAAAAACAAAGGATTTGATGGTTGTTATTTACTACGGAGTACTCATGAAACTCTCTATTTTTAGTTTTTTACACTTGCAAGTAAAACTCCACGATAAAGTAATCTCTGCCTCTCTGTATTCCTAATGTCAGAAGTTCCCACTGTAAAAAATACAGTAAAATATAATTATAAACATAAAATGAATTTAATTACTACTGTAGTAAAATTTTTGTACAGTAAAATAAAATTATAAACATAAAATAAATTTAATTAAAATATTTGCAACATTAAAAAAAAAAAAATCAGATAAAAATTGTTCATCAGCTGACAAATACGGGTAAATTCAAGTTAATCTCTGAGATAAATGATGTGAATAAATCTCCTCTCACAATTTATTCATTTTCTTTTATTTTTTAAATGATAAAAGTTAAATAATAAAGTGGCACAGATTTCAACACATAAAGTTGTGAGAGGGGATAAATTAGATTGTTAATCTCTGAGATCAACTGGGGCTCCCTAGACAATTACGGTGGTCACGTTACATGTAAATAAGAAAAAAGAACAACCAATGAAAAAGCCATCGTTGGCAACAAAATGCAACAGAATCTTCTGATTAAACCTCTAAACGGATCAAATCTGTTAATATTCTGATTTCTGACTCTACATGGATTCCAATTTTCATTCATCAGACTTGTTCTTTCTCAAAGAAGATGGTCTGATCTTATTTACTTTTTCAATCTTATTATTGGATTTTACCATTGAGGAGTTTAGTGAATTTGGATACTATATCAGCTAATGTTGGACAATATTTGTATTATTTGGACCTCGCAGTCATGAGGTTAAGTCCGAAAATTGATTTTAGCACACCGTTAATTGATTATAGCACACCCATATGCAAGAGAGCATACAAAATTGTGCCCTCACAAAAAAAAGTGTATCAAAATCAATTATGGTGTGTCAAAATTAGAGCTGTCAAAAGTTGATCCGACCCGAAATACCGACTTAAACCCAATTATTAACCGACCCATCTGAACCCGAAAAAATGGTGACCCAAACCCGACATGACCCAACCTGAAACCAACCCTAGACCCGAGTTGACTTGAGTTTGTAAGACCCGAACATGAACTGACCTAGAGATGACACACCCGAATGTAACCCGTAGTTATTGACCTAAACCAAACCCGACTTGAATCGAAATTGACCCAAACCCGTTTTAAACCGTCAAAACCAGAATTTAACCAGACTTGTTACTAACCTGACCTGAATTCAACCCGACTCGTTCCTAACCCGACCCGAATTTAACCCAACCTGTTACAAACCCGACTCGAAATCAACTCGACTTGTTATTGACCTGACCCAAATTCAACCCGACTTGTTATTGACCTGACCCAAATTCAACCCGACTTGTTATT